AAATACATATATTCTGCCCGGGTATTGTGTCTTCTTTCGTCTCCAGGGAGTCTCGGGACGCTACACTTAAAGTAGAAAGCCAATGAGAAAAGTGATGAATTAAATAGAGCCACAGCTTGTATAAATTACAAAATAAGAATGACAACTGAAAAAGCGTCTTTAATTAGGTAGCATTTTAAGGAAGTAGCCGTTGCAAAAAAAATTATCACCTTCAGTACACCGTTATCAACGGTAGATATTTACATCATTAAGACAAAATTAGATGAAAAATACTACTAAACCACAACGCACACTACAATGTGAAATGTTGTGTTACTGATAATGCAAATTATTCATTGAATAAAGTATTGGGCACTTATACTTTAAAAATTCATGTTATGTGGAACGCACATTACAATTCATTTACAAAGACTTCAAGTGGCAAAATAACTTATCTTAATTATATCATAGCAGCTGGTAAAATTTAAAGGAAACGCTTTCGAAAACGAGTGTGTTAGTGCCTTTCATTGTGTCTGTTTTAATTTTCTATAGAAACGGGGCACCGTTTAAGCTGATTAGGCTGCTCTGATGGAGACTTTAATTCCCGTTATCAATAAGCTTCAAGATGTATTTAATACGGTTGGGAGCGAAGCTCTTCAGTTACCTCAGATCGTGGTAATCGGTAGCCAAGTAACTAGATGTTGCCACCTAATTCCCGAAGAGTTCAGGGAAAAGTTCAGTATTGGAGAATATTGTTGGTCGGGACTTCCTTCCAAGGGGTTCTGGGATTGTCACCAGGAGACCATTAGTTTTGCAACTAGTTCATGTGAACGAAGGAGAAGATGTGGTTAGGAAGGAGGAGGGTGATGGAGTTTCCACTGAATGGGCCAAGTTCCTTCACAAGAAGAATGAAATTTTTGTCGATTTTGACCTAGTCCGTGAGGAAATCATGAAAGAGACTGCTCGTCTGGTTGGAAACGGGAAAGTAGGTTTGTCCTTGATAGTTTTTTGACTGCTTGTCGTGTAATTAGAACTTTATCATGATGTTTGTTCTATTGGTAAAACTGGTGCTTTGATTCTCGGACTTGGGAGGTGACACTTATTTTTCAAACCATTCAAAGGATAATTATGTTATGTGGACTTTTTATTTAAACCATTTTTTAGATGGTGAGCTCGGAAGCGATTCACCTTAAGATATATAGTCCGAAGGTTCTCAACTTGACTCTGGTTGATCTGCCGGGCATCACGAAGGTTCCAGTTGGTGACCAACCGGAGGATATTGAGAATCAAATTAACGCTTTGTGTCTGCACTACATTTGCAATCCAAATTGTATAATACTCGCAGTCACTCCTGCCAACGCTGACATGGCCACTAGCGAATCGTTAAAACTCGCCAAGGAAGTCGATCCTGAAGGTCTGATAGTCGATAAATAATATTCTGCTCGTTTTTCGAGCAAATTTTAACTTAATGCGGTCAACAGGACATGACTCTGCGTCTAGGTTATTTGTTGAATGAGTTAAGGCTTATTTGGAGGTTATTTTATTTCTATTAAAACACCGGAGTTATTCATGACCGCGATAGAATTTACTTAGCTGGTTATCATTTATGTTTAAATCCGTAGGAAGACGCACACTTTGCGTCCTTACCAAGCTGGACCTGATGGATCACGGCACGGACGCCCATGATCTTTTGATGAATCGAGTTGTTCCAGTGAAATTGGGGATTATAGGCGTGGTTAATCGTTCTCAGGCGGATATCAACGCGAAGAAATCTATCATTGATGCCCTGACTTATGAGGCCTCCTTCCTACAACGCCGCTACCCCTCGCTTGCAAGCAGAAATGGTACTATCTATCTCACCAAGACTCTTAACCGGGTAAGGATCGTGAAACCTTCGATGTATTGCGCTTTTGTGATACTGCCTTCATTTTTACATCTTGGTAACTATTTAAGTACAATCTGAGTCAGATGTTTTGTTGCAGATGAGGTCTAACTTGAATCTATGTGGATATGAAAACACTAGTGCTCGAAGACACTTCTGGTATCATAGTATTTGAAGACGAGTTTTTCCGTTTGATTGTGTTATTATTGGTACTTATCATTATTTAGGCATTGAATGTTTCGGACTGTCGAATTCATCTTTGCTGGAAGTATATTTTTTGGTTTAAGTTTTGTATTTTGATTCATTATTGGTGACAGAATTCATGGAATGCACCTATTTTTTTGTAACGAATCTTGGTTCTACCTACTTATGCAGCTCCTGATGCACCACATTAGAGACTGTCTACCCGAGTTAAAAACGCGTGTTAACGTGATGACAGCCCAATTCCAGACTCTTCTCAACTCCTTCGGTACTGAGGTGGAGGACAAAGTAGGTCCTATTACGAAAGTAAATGCCAATGCAGGCCTGATTGATCGTAAGCTTGCTTAACAAATTCCCTTAGTACTCTTGTGAACTTTTTTACTAATGGAGTCGAACATGCGTGCCTGATCTGCAATTGTTCACATTATATTAATCAGATATTTTCCGATTAGAGCATTAGCCCACGGCAGGTTGGCCGAACATTCAGTAGCGATCACTTTACGTTGTCATTGAAGATTTTTAAGGATCGGAAGTACCTTATATTATACGTCCTCACCCTCCGCTCAGGGGCAGCTGTTGCTTCAAATAATTACGCGGTTCAACACGGCCTACTGCAATACTATCGACGGTGTCTCGAAAGATATCGAGACCTCCGAGTTGTGTGGCGGTGCACGCATCTGCTATATCTTTCACGAAATCTTCTGCAGTACTTTGGGTCGTATCGATCCCCTTGGGGGTCTTAATACTCTGGACATCCTCACGGCTATTCGAAACTCCACGGGTCCTCGACCAGCACTCTTTGTGCCCGAGGTCGCATTCGAATTGCTCGTGAAGAGGCAAATCCGCCGATTAGAAGAACCTAGTCTTCGGTGCGTGGAACTTGTTCACGAGGAGATGCAGAGAATCATTCAACACTGCGGAACTCAGGTAATATGTAAGAACCGTCCTCTCCGTGTTTTGGTGTGCGTTTTTAACAGCGCATTGCGATGTTGGAGATATTTTCCTCGCCAAAGAAATATTACGTTCGTGTAATCGGGTTGGCTCTGTTTATGATAATGACCTGACGTAATATCCCCTGTGAAATAGCCTTATTTCGAGGCCTCGAAAAAGCTCGCTATTAAACGCACTGTCCTTTCGGTTTTGAGATAGAGTTCACTTTTCATCTACCAAGAGAGCGCCTGTCAAGAGATAAGTTGAAATGATTACAGAATGGAACAGATTTTAGGACCTTGGAGCACAGGAATACCCATTCTAATGCATTTCATTTTTCGATTCAAGCATACTTCGGTTTGTTCAGCTGGTGTTAAGTCAGTGATATTCTAACAAACAGCCACTTAGTTTAAGAAGCAAGGTGACTATTATTAGTTCATTAACAGCATTGTATGGCCGTTGATCATCATCACTGCCGATGCCTTTTGTCTGATGAAGACAGTTGTCATCTGAGAAGCTGGTCCCATAATTGTGAGCCTAGATTGTTCAACAGGTCTTAACTGACTGCCAATCTGATTTCAAGGAAATTTGTTCCGTGTTATGCTTTCAGATGACCTCGATGTAGGATTCCACTAGGGATGAGTCTACCATAAAGCTTTTAAAATAATGCTGTGTTTAAGACCACTCCACAAATATTCTCTTAATGTCTTTCACACCTACGGGCTTCTAATTAATAACCTACTTTGATCGCACTTCTTTTAGGCAAGGATGTACGTTTAACTGCATTTAACTCTGTCCGTTGGATTGACTTCCAGGGTAGTGAAAGTGTAATCTTGCCTTGAATGACGTAAATTTCGCTAACATTTGTACCACTTTTTGTGTTTTGAATTGACAGCAATCATTTGACTTACTCTAGTCGAGTCCTTCACACTTTTCACTATGATCTCGTTGCAGCAAGAAATGTACCGGTTCCCGAACCTGCACGAGCGGATAGTGGACGTTGTCACCTCGCTGCTGCGTCGTCGACTTCAACCAACAAACGAAATGGTTACAAACCTTGTTGCCATCGAGTTGGCCTACATTAACACCCGTCACCCCGATTTCACTGAGGAACTCATGCTCCATCGACAGCAGGCGCCACCGGGCCTCAACAACCTGGTGAGTTGTCCACCTCTCTGCCCGTTCCTCTGCCCACTTATACCATCTTTCCTGTGCAAAGCCCAATTGGTGTGATAACACCGTTATTTCACATAAATTCTGGAAACTATGAGAACCGAGATGACTAATTTGTATGGGCTTTTACTTGATGGGGTGCCACGTCATTGCTCCATGGCAGGAATCGTTAAATAGCCATTCGAAATTTATTCAAGGAGCTGATGGTGTTTGAGTACGTGCATACGCACTATAATGGACTAACACGATAGTACAAATTCGAGATTGCACAAGCTAAAATTTAGGCACACGAATTCGCACCTAGTTCTAACATCAAATGTTCAAAAAAAGTCGGTTGGTTTTGCATACCTCCCTCATCATGGGCCACAAAATGGGCATTAATTTGTTGGATTATCGTAGCATCTTAGCTGTGTTCATTGGAGTTTACGTTCTGGTCAATCATGTCTCTACTTTTCCGTTGTCGCTAGGCTATTAGAAAATTGTATTGTTTAGGTTGCTAATTTAAAACACGAGCATGGCAGGCAATTCATTGTTGTGTTTCAGGCTGTTAGTGATTGAGTGGTCCCTTTAGTTCACACGATGCATTCTGGAATACGCAATTGAAACAGTTAATCCTATTGACGTTTGCAAGCCCATCATACAATAATGTATCGCATGCTGTTACTCCTTCACTCCAATTTTATTACGCTATGGAATCTCCTCTACAAGATGTTCCACATGTACTTACTTTTCTATAATCAATCGTGCTGCAGAATAAACAAATCTTTTTTATGACATTCATTATGTGGAAATTAGTAATAAACCCTTTTCTAACTATATGATTGCAAAATAGAAATAACACGCCTTCGTTCTTCTGGGATTTCTTAAGTTAGGAGTACCTTTGGCCAAGTAATGGACTCTTTAAATAACTTGTCCACCTAATGCCTAGTCGACGGAATTAGCTTTCCGGGAAGAAAAGCTCCTCGTTTGAAATAAAACACAACAAAGGGTACTAAGATGATGCCTAGTCCTCTGATTTAACTGTCTAACCATATCTGCTTGTATCCACCACCCTAAGTGCATAGTTACGGGGGTAGAGAGACCTACCTTTCCTGGTCTCTTCTAAATCCTGGTTGTTTATCCTTCCTATGTAGGGCCTGGTTCGCATGAAGAGAGGGGCAGCTCAACTCCAGACTAGTGAGGTGGACCAAGAGTGGATCGAAGTTAGCTACGATGTATGCTTAGAAACTAATTTGATTTTATTCACCTCCTCTCTGTGTCCATTCCAAATTCAGCCTCCGATTGATTCGTTCCTTAGTTTTTTTCTAAAAAACCAGCCCCCACTGCACTTTACTTTGATTAAATCGGGATCGACATGCACATAACTATTCAGATAGAGCATGTGCTTATGTGGAAACTAGCATATTATTCTGGGAAAATCATAAGCGTTGCGAGGATATGAGTGATAATGTGGATTAACATCTCGCTCCATAGGTGTTTTATCGTCCGTTGTTACATGCTATTTACTTTTTACAGCATATTTACTGGAATCCATAAATAAGCGATAGGTGCTGGATTGCATCTTAGATACGCGTTTATATTTATGCGGCTGAGTTTGTGAATATGAAACAACCGAACGCATTATCTCATCGACTTGGTTATCATTACGCGTGGCGTGGATTGTTATAGTTCGCTGGCTGATTACTACATTGTTTTCTCAATTGCAACTGAAGTTCAAATTTTTCAATCGTGACATAAACCTACCTACCTTCATGATTTCAATGGTTAATATTCTACGAACTGTGGGTGTTCTCTTGCGTTTTTGTGTTACCCACACTTATACTTCTCTGTCAAATGCGACAGGATGCCGTTTGAAATTACCCAAGTGCGTGTGCATGTGTGGCAGCAGACGGGGTGTAACCCGATCTGGTGCGATCTTACTTACAGGCCTTGAGCGATGGACCGTCGCAAACCCAGGCAGCCAGACGAACTCAGCAGTCAGCGGCAGGACGGCGTCCGAACGCGGTGCCCGCGCAGCGATCCAATGACGCACTCCAGGAGGCCGACTCATCTGACAGTGCTAACTTCTCGGGCTTCCACGCGGCCCCTGACATCGTATGTACCTTCTACCTTTCAGGCCAATCTAGGCCTTCAGCGTAGTACTGGCGGCCTCATTTCCACAAAACAGACTGTGCCTCATCAGACGAAATTTGTATGGGTTATTTTGGGTAGCTTCCGACCAACAGTCGGGGATTCAGTTGTTTGGGCTCGGTTGTAAAATGAATTTTGTGTGAGTTCCGCATGCACTAAAGCATGACAAATAAAACAAGACAAAAAATATATGAACATCCCAAATTGTTAAGTAGCATAAGTATGAGTGGTGTGTGTACGATACTCGTGAATTGTATAGCATGGTTTTGATGTTTACTGATTTGTCTTTAACAATTGCTCAGTCCAGTCAGGTATTAATTTACATTTATAAAATTGAATGAACTTTGCTCGTTTTTACACCTTATCTTCAAATTTCAGCAAACCCAAGTCCAACAACATCAGCTAACTGCTACGGAGAAGCGCGACTGTGATTTAATCAGTAGGTGCCCAATATTTACATCTTTTCATTTGAATAATGGATTTAAGCTTCATTAGCGACACATTTGAACTAAGGTGTTCACCACTTTCCGTTTTGGAGCAAATTATATATTACGTTGCCTTAGCAGCTGATACCGCCTTTTAGAATGATGGTTCTTAGGGAAAAGGTAACGTTACACCTCTGAGAATAGGAATATATTTCAGAAGTGCATTTTTACATGCTGTAAATTCGCTGGGAAACACGTTTTACTAAAGTCAAGTAATAAGCTTTCAATAAAGTTGTTTTCAATGCAGAGGCTATTTTTTTATCCACATCAGGCCAACTGATTCGCTCCTATTTCCAAATTGTGCGCAAGAACATCCTCGACTCGGTGCCGAAGGCGATCATGAACTTTCTGGTCAACTACGTGAAAGACAATTTGCAGTCGGAGTTGGTGAGCAGTTTATACAAGATCGATGAGTATGACGGATTGCTGAAGGAGAGCGAGAACGTGGCGCAACGACGAAGGGAGGCCTCAGAGATGCTCAAGGTCTGTGAGTTTTTCTATAAAAAGCCCGGAAATTCACTTCTCTTGATATTGTTAATTTAAGCTTAATCAGATCCCCAGTATGAGCTACTTTACAACTTTTATTCGCTTACTGGGTGTAAATAAGTTATTTTAGGGAGGCAGAATCTTAATGCGCCTACTCTTACCACTCTGGTCAAAACGTGCGTCTGATCAGAAGAAAGAAATTCATCACAGAGTTAGTGATCCAAATCCAATCACTTTTAGCTGGTGTAGTGAAGCTGAACGTGCTTTCCCCCATAGTGGCTAGTCAAATAGTGAACAGAGAAGAGTCAGCTACTCAAAATACATAAAAATACCACGGTGTTTATTGTAGGGACTTCAACGAGCCAATCAGATCATCAGTGAAGTCCGGGAGGCCCCAATGTGGTAACTGTGGTATCACTGAGGACGGCATTCTCTGTACCATATTCTCTTCTCCTCTGGTTTAGATTATCTTGCGGGTTTCGCCCACTCAGGACGCATCGTTTCCGCCAGATATTCGCCAGATGAACAGTTATTACCATCTCATTGTTATTCACTCCTAACAACATTAGTTTTTTCTAATCCCATATAAGTGTTGCAGTCCTTTTTATTTTTTAAACTGGCACAAATTTCGTGTGAAAACAGTGCCTATCTGATGACAGCTGAGTAAAGGCTTGAAGTTTGTTGACGGCTAGAAACTACGTAGCTTGAACAATTGAACTTAAAACTTCTCTCTACTGGCCTTATGGGTTCATGCCACTTATCAGACCTAGATTAAACAATTTATTTTATACTGCCTGGTGCTGTAAAGCTGCTTGCAGTTGGTCCCATCGGGTGCCGCTTTAAACTCCCCTGACTGGTGACATTCATCTGCCTTGTTATTCCTTAGAAGCAGAGGAAGACCTTTTTGAAGTGGTATAGACACTCATGAATTCCCACTGGTTACATCAAAAGGTTGGGACAATCTTTGGAAACAGAATTACGATTCAGTCGCTTGTTCCTGCTTGGAAATCTAGCATGTGATTCAATTAACAATAGGTAGGAGAAAACATTGAGTTGCTCAGATGTATAGTTGCGTCATTTCGCTTTAACAGACTACTGATGATGAACCTACTGGACTCGACTGTGCAATCGGCTTCCGCACGGCTAAACAATAACGTGCACATGACGTGTCTGTGTGTATGATGGTGTTCACTTCCGTTGGCGACTGGAATTTCGTCCATTTCATGACTTCAGTGAGTGGACGAGGTGATTGGATGTGGTGGTGGTGGCTATCTATGATAGACCCCAGATAAATGCTGCTTTTTTGCTATTTGTGGCCAAAAAACTGGGCAAATTTAATCTCATGGTCTTTCATCAAAGTACTGAACGCATTGCCTCAATCTACTTTTGTGTAGAAATGAAGCCATATACATTGATCTTTGAGTTTTAATCGTCTCTTATTTTAGGATTTTGGCAGGTTATGCAATATCCACTTGTAGTACTTGGACCTGCAATGACTGCCGTTTTATAACCACAGAACAGTCAGAAATTGTCATTTTGATGCATTCCGCCAGGTTTTAATTTTAACGAACGAGACAGCAGTTGAACACTTGCGAAATGAAGTTAAATGAGCAAATAAAGAATAAGTGTAAAAACGGAATAAGACGATTTATCTTTTTCCCAAACCAGGGGATTATTTTGACAATGCTTACATTTCCACCATGTTGAGCAATACATTATAAAAAATAAACATAGTCTTGCGGTATTTTGAAGTGTTGCCATGTTTGCTACTAACGATTTATCAATAGAGTAATCGCAAAAACCGGTAATTTGAGAAATTTGCCTTGCCATTTGAATCAAGTTTTACCACTAAGACTTAAAATTTGAGGCTCTAAGACTACGCTCTTTTTAAGCATTTGTTTTTCTCCCTCGAGAGTATAGCTATGCATCATCTGACCTCGGAAGACCAAATAGATCTGTGGGTCAATGCGGGAAATGAGAACAGTAGGCAGAGTACAAATGCCGATTGTGTCATTGGCTTTCGAGGCATTTCTTGTGTAAATGAAATCTGAACAGTAGAATACAAGCCGGTGCTGACGATAGTACTACCCTTACTTTGTTAAAAATGAACAGCAGCAAAACGGCAAACTGGAAAACCTCTATTAAAAGTTCTATGTAAATGTAGTTAGGCTTGTCGCCAACGTTGTTGAGAAGATGATATCGTGATTTTCCTTTGCCACTTTCGCTACCAGGGCCAGAGAAGATCGCCTATCATAGTTCAAGTTTTCGTTGTTATCATGTTTTTCTTTCAATTATAAATCACGGCTCTTAATTAAGTCTGCGAGCTGAGGTAAGAAAAATGGGATATCATTTGGATGCAACGCAGGTGAGGAATGCGTTAAGCAAAAAGCTTGAATGCCCATACATATTTCGCTCGCTAGTGCCTTGCTCGAGCCAACGCTGACTGACCCACTGACGTGCTCACAAGAGTACGGTACTTCGTCGATGAGGGCTTCGAGATATTGGGTGGCAAACAAGAGAAGGCGAAGTGCACCATCTTTGAAGCCTCCAATGTAGGCCTGCATGCGGCTTCCATGCACTAGAAGAGTGTTTGGTGTGGATTTGCAAAAAGGATGTGACCGAACGCCACAACATCCTCGAGAAAGCGAGAGGCGGAGCAAGTGGAGACGCGGAAGTGCTAAAGGGTGTCCACCAAACGGGTTTATGCATAGCGGTGTGCTGCCGACTCGCCTGCAAACACACATGACTGTCTAAGCTTTTTGTGTTGCATAAGCGGACCCCAAAAATGGATGCGATTGTGTGGAAGACGGAACGGGGGTTCAGCCAAGTGTGTTGATACGTAGGATAGTCAGTGGGTCGAAATTATACGCACTGAAGATGGAGGTAGATGCGGATATTCTCGAATCGCAAGAATTTTTTACCGGCCTATAAAATATTTTCAGTTTTATTACTTTGAGGTTAAGATGGCTTCAGAAGAAAGAGATTATAAGGCTTTTAAGATATTAAAAGAGAAATTTTCCCCAAGGGCCATAAATAGATTGAATCGTTGGTACATGTTTAGGACTTGATAACCTTTGTGACTTTCAGCTCCCTCTCACCACAATATTTTATTTTTCATCGGGTTCTGCTATACGGTGTAGGGCAGATAAACCATTTCTAAAAGAAAAACGATATGTAGAAAGCATCTTCCTTTGAGCTGAAAGATGTCCTTATCACGTTCATAGAGCCAGAATTTTACTGTGTTTTGATTAAATTTTCTGCTCGTTTTAACGCAGAACTCGTGACCACGTCACATAATGATGAAGAAGAGAGATAATGGGTTTTAGTATCTTTCGTCATGACGTCAAAAGCATTGTGAACTACAGCCTGTAGAAGTATGGGGGGATTTTGCTTAAGCACGGAGCACCCATAAACTGCCCCAACTTTATAAAATTACAGGATCAGATAGTATGTGGTTTCAGAATCTTGTTGCCAAGGCGACAATTTCCGTGTCCAAAAACGGAACCCGGGGAAAACTGCAATACCATCACCTTCACCAAGGCCACAGGGTAAGTCACAAATAGTCCGGATATGAACCAGGAGCACTGATGAGATAGTTGAAGATATCCACAATCCTTAGGTAAACAGCAGCACCACGTCACCTCAACTCGGATTCACTAGAGACTTCTTTCTTTTTGATGGCTGAGTCACGAAAAGACGATACTAGTCATTTAAATCAGCATTGTTACTGAAACAAGACGGAGACAGAAAAATAGCGAGAAATTCGGAACCATCCCTCGTACTCCCCTTTGGCTATTGTTTCGCATTAGAATCAGCCTCAACTAGCTACCGAACTGGATTTTAATGCATTTCCGCTTGACATTGATTTCGTCTATTTGCGCACTAACAGAGCCCAAGTCAAACGAATGGGGAACTTAAAATTGGCTAAAATAACTTTGGGAAGTCAAACACATGATTGTAAAAAAGAGCTTGTGCAATTATGCTTAATTTTTATGATGATTTAACCAATAGCACAAATAAAGCACTTCGAAGATGGAGAAAAGTGCAACACGTGGATTGCCATCCATCCTACCAGCCCCCCGAATCTGGCAAAGACCAGTTAGCTCAAATTGATACCAATTTCAAAGACGCACATAGCTTACTCTTCATTTTGTCATAGGTTGATGAATAGGCAGGTTTTTAATTATAAAATATACTGCAAAATATTACAACTTAATTATTTTGACAGTCCAATTGGAATGGGTGTGAGAATGGGCGCACATGTTATAAAGTTGGCGACAAATCAACTCCAAGTCCGTGAACCACCAACACAAAGGAAGCGTTGTATTTTTTCGGAACGAGAATCATATTTATCTGAACATTTGATATAAATGTTTGTGTTTAAGTGGTGGCTCTTTAAAATATTGCGACTTTCCTGCGTTATAAGTAGAAGAAGAATGTTTCATAACTTATCTAAAATGGAGCAGGCAAAAGAGTAACCAAACTCAAGTGTGATAAAAAGTGGAGGCTCACAACACCTGCTTGTTAAATCACCCGCAAAAGAAGAATTATTAATTGCTAGTTATCAGTTGCAGCGATTGTGTATTCTAGGCCCTTGCACACCCGAGGGCTCTGAAAAGTGCTCGAGTGCTTCTTGTTAAAATGACGGTGATCGTGTGACTGCTCCGTTGCATAAAGACGGCAAATTTTCGTGGATAGTAAATAGGCGCAAGGTTGAAGAAGTCTAACTAGCGTCCTTAAACATGAGTGCCATCAGTTTCGCATTTTACCTAAGTTGTAAACCCAGGTGCAAGGGGAGCGTGGGAAAGAGTGTCATAAGAGGAATACGGAGGGTGTGCACACTACAGAAAAGGCAGACCAGTGTAGGGATCATGCACAACGAAAATCGATGTAGTGCAGTGCAGTGCGGTGCCACGAGGCGCTGTGGGGGATAGGGGGGACACGGAGGCACACACAATGCTGCACTGCGCAGCGCGAACCAACAAATGACGTCAATTGTATGCTAGACACAACTAGATTCCCAAATTACTGCTAAGTTCAAATTTAATGTTGTAGGAGCTTGACAGGGTGGTCAAATGATTCGGTGAAATCCGAGCTTTAGTCATTACCAAGTAGCACAAAATGAATCCACGCCATTGCAAAGTTAAAAAAATTCTGAACTTACCTGGAATTTGTGGTGTATCTTCTTTTTTACACTCACCAGAGCGTGTGGGCTATCCCTATCTTTGCTTTTCCTTAGTCGGTACTAAATTCCAAGCGTTTTTTAGCTGTCTTCAGACCTTCTTTCTTTTTTTTTCATTTGCAGAAATCAGGAATCGTCGAAATATTTAGCAACGCGAATATCACCCAAATGGAAATGTGGTACACATTTTTTGCAAAATATTACACAACACTTAAATGCAGAAAAAAGACGACACCATGGAGGTTGTGCGTGGTCAGTCATCACGGTATTAGTAGGGATAGTGTTTCATATGCGTTCCACCCCATGACTGCTACCTTGTACAGGAATCAGAATTTCAGCTTTATGATCACTGTCTTAGGTACAATGACACCAAGACTTAACAGCTCTAGAGAGTTTTGAAGAATTTTTAAGGAGATTTCGTCAGGAAACTTCCCTGAGGAAGGACATTTCACTGAAATACTTCAAGCATTCGATCCAACAAAGTGGTTCGTATAACATTCGAGCACCAGAGTAATTGGAAAAAAATACCATTCCGGTTCCACTAACCATTCCATTAGGAACCTACCAATCACCACTGATAAACATCAGCCCACTAAGCAAGATGTCCGACACCGATGGTTGAGGAATGTGCCACCGGCGTTAAATTCATGTAAACATTTGCCACTCACTCGTCAGATATCAATCGAGGGAAGCTGCAAGTTCACTCTTCTCGCTACAATTGTACCGACCAAAGTAGCCTAATCGACGCTTTCTGCCTCGCATTTCACCACCTCATCGTGGTATCCACGATGAAGGCGAGCAAAGTATGTCTCTAGAGAAAAGAGGCAGACCTAGACCGGAATTCATTTGTATTCACTTACAAATGAGGCCAGAAAATCAAACAGTAGATAAAGTTTGATCAGATAGGTCATTGTAATAATAGCAATTAGACGATGAACAAGTGGATCATTTGGCAACAAACGGACATTAGGTCTGTTAACAATAAACCACATTGTTAGTTTCGAGCATTGTTAATGAAGTAGACAGACAATGGACTGGTGGTGTGCTCGTCAGGGTACCTTCTCGTATCAAACATCATATTCAGAAAAAATCACCCTCCGTTTCCGTTTGAATGCGCGACAAAGATAATTCGAGGCTAGGGTGCTGTGTTCTTAATCCACTAGATTGATTGCAGCAGCTCAAGTTACCAAGGCTGCATGTGTCAACTACTACCACACAGAAGGAGCCCCGACTCCAGCACCTTAAATTGGATCGTACGATAAGCCTGTATTGGAGGCCATGAAGACAGAACACAAGGCCCATCCCATTTGAGGAGTGGGCGTACCACCGATTCTGAGTGCATTTATACCAAACAAGGCGGCTACGAAAAATCCCGCCCCCGCTTCCGGACGATGCAAGCAAGAGGCGCTCGATGAGAAACAAACACACCCTCGGCCTCCCTCCACCCCTCATTCCCTCCATTGTATCATGTGACCCACGCCACTGCGTTGCTCTCACGGAAGCGCACCGACCAAACACACACAGGCACGCAGCAAAAGCACCACATACATTTCTCTTACTGATGCTTCTGAGGAGCGAGGCACGTTTTAGGGCGCTATTAAGAAAGTACGTATGCAGAATCGGCCACCGCGATCTGGAACACAGTAATCAAACTAGCCGCATAAAATTGTCATTGCGTGGCTTAAGTGGAAGGTTTCCTACGAAGCCCTATCAAATGTTAAGGACGACGCAACGAAGCAAACCGGATAATGCTGTATTAGAGTGGTATTAAACAGGGTAGTAGCAAGTGAAAAATAATCGAAGAAGCCTTCATTTTAATGGGATAAAGCACAATTAAAAAGGCGACAACAGGTGAGCCAAAGCTCATTCAAGCGTCCACTGATGCGTTCATGCGGCATCGTAAACGAGGCGGCAGGGCAAGGAAACACAAGGTGGAGGAAGAGAGAAAAACAATACGTTCGGGTGGAGTGAAGGTGTAAATAAAAATTGATAAAATCACGGAGATACCGGCGGCTACTCGACTCCCTCTCCCTCCTTGGCGTAGGCCTCGTCGGCTAGCTCAAAGTATTTGGCCGCCAGACGGCCATCCATCTGCTGAGTAGCCGACTCTGCCGCCTCCGTGTAGAGGTCGCCTACAAGCCAAACAATCAACAATGGTACAAACCTCACTAGCGGCCACGTCACTCCCACGCTCCACGTCCCCGCCACAGAATCGATGGTCCCATTAAGCCTAAACGGCCTTGGAATCGTACGAGGCCATTTTCACATAAAATTTCGTCATGAGTTACGCTTGGAGTGAACACGAAAGGTGCAATTAGGCAAAAGCAGCCTTAACAATCAAGAAGATTTGCTCGGAGCATCCGCAGATGCTCTTTGCACTAATGGGACTTTTGACATCGTAGCATCATTAGGCGCTGATCTAATGCCTCTACACATGGTTAAATAGGATGCTTCCATTGGTAAGGCGAATTCCTAGGGTGAATCAAAAGCATCCTCTATGAGTGATAAATTGACTCTACTAGACTAGCCTTTAAAGGCCAATGAAGGCAACGGCAAATTATATAAGTAGCCCTGGTTAACCTTTACGGAGGTAGCTGGTGCTCTACATCTCAGGGCACGGAACATACGCACACCGTTAACATGAGTCATCGGAAGCACGACATAGGCTGGCATTTTAACAAGGTCTTAGACCAAAGTACTAAATCGAGTCATCATGTATGCAAAGCGGAGCTAAAAGATGTCATTTCACGAGGAGGGGCTAAAGAGGCAGAGATCAGAGATATATTTACTAAAAAACTCAAATTA